AACATATACATATGTTTTTATTTAACTGCATTTATAAAATAAATGTGGAAACCTCGGATTTAAATCCGAGAGTTATGTGTACTGAAGAAAACGTGAATGAGACAGATGAGTCATCCGACGAATGTGTGGACATCAAAATTGTCCTGGCAAACCCTTTCTGTAAACACTTAATTTCTATTGGCTATTGCTCAGCCAATACGATTTGAAGGCAAATACAGAGAAGATTTGGACTCTTCACCTTGATTTACCCTAAGAAACTTGTTTTTCCTATAACTTGATTTCTATTGGTCACTGCTCAACCAATGGAATTTCGAGGCGAATGGAACACAGATTCGAGTTCTCCATCCCAGAAAATCTCGAACTATCATCTCTGTGATCGAAAGATAGAGCTCTATTTATGGATCAATTAGAGCGTGGACAAACACAGAACCGAATTCAGTTTAATTATCTTTGCAATAGGTGAATTAACTTTCTTGTTTCTTTATGTTTTATATACCATTTTGTAGCTCGTGAAATTCTCTATCGAATGGTATATAATAGTTGGGGTTTTATTTGACTATGATAGGAAAAGTTTTTTACGAAAACAGAGAAGGGTCTACCTTTTCATAGGGAAGCATAGGGAAAAATGACTATTTTTGCAATAACTCAGGAATGACTTGGCCAATCATTCTCATCTTCGAACTCGACCGAGACATTGTTAAGACTAAACTGTGTAGAAAATTTCATCGCGATTGGACTCTTCTTTCAAAAGTTATCGTGTAAACGGCCGGCCGGCCGGACGGACGGACACACTGACCGATTCTAGAGTGTACTCACTTTTTGAGTACACAAAAATATAAACGTAAGTGTAAGGATGAATTTTTCTTCGTCGGTCACAGTAATTTTTTTTAGAAGACTTCATAATGGGGTATAGGTGTGGGTGGAGAGAAGTCTGTTTCCAACATTCATCAACAGTCACAACCACAAACACCTACATCCTATATGACACGAGCCTATTCTAATACTTCTGAATAATCTCTGTTTTACTGGAAAATAGGCAACTACAGGCCACATTAGAACAAGGAGCCTATCTGGATGGACACCATTTTGAGGACTTAAACGGCTAACAATTTTTCTAATGAAACTCTCTTACCTCAAATTTATTCACATGTAAATAAACTTACTATTGAACAAAATTCAATGGAACGTATTCTTACCGTCAGTTATCGTCAACTTTATTCGTTATCACTTGTTAATTTTGAAGAAAAATTACTTTTTCAGTATTTGACAGGTATATTATTGAAAGAATTTATTTTATTTTTAATAAAATAAAGTAATAGAACAAATTTAATTTCATCTTTATTTTTGTTTTTTTTTACATTAAAGATCATTCAATTCTTCGTGATCTCCTTCCTAATCAAATCACACATCTGAATATCGATATTCAAAATGAAACAATATCTCAATTATCTGAAATTCCATCAAATATATTTGCATTGATTTTATCTTTAACTAAACGATTAATCCATTTGAATTTTTGTCAATTGTTTTCTCATCGTAGAACGTGGATTTCTATTTATTATCTACTAGAAATAAGTTCTATGTCTTCAAATTTAACTGAATTGAAAATTAATGTCGAAACTTTTTTTGATTGGCTTTATCTTCTTGATGGACGTCTTGATTCTTTATCGAAATTGATTATCAATGTGAGGAAATTTTTATATAAACATAACCCATCATATATAAATGGTGGCTGGATAAATATAATTTCAATAATTATGTTTTCAATAAAAAGACATTCTTAATATTATTTTATTTTTTTTAGGAAGACCTTCCTAAACTGAAAATGCTTCTCATTGACTTTGAATAGTTACGAACAGGAATATGACAATGAAATTATTGCATTACTTCATCGAATGATAAATCTTGAAGAATTTATATTATTTCTGTTAGTTATAAGAGTTGACAAGAATTATGCTGATGGTATTCAAATATATAATGACATTCTTATTCATATGCTACGATTAAACAAATTTACTTTCAGTATAAATACAGTAGCTATTATAGAAAAGAAAAAAATTCGTCTTTCATCTAATCAAGATATTGAAAATAGCTTTATTGGAAGAGGATATGGACAAGTTAGTTCATATGTTTTTTTCTCAACAAATGAAGAACATAGGCCATTGTCATGTCTATTCACTTCCATATCAATTCGAACATTTTTTTTGTCTTAACAACTCTTTTCATTTTCAAGATGGTATATTTGATAAAGTTCGATGTCTAACAATGAATGATATTGCATGTCCTTTTGAACATCAGTTTTTCAAACTGACATTTCATTATTTTCCTTTTATCAAAGAATTAACTATATATAATAGTCGATCACAAAAAGACAAAGAACATTCGTCGACATTAATTATATTTCCTCATCTTATTCTTCTCGATTTGGTTAAATCACATGCTGATTATGCTGAGCAATTTCTTTTGACTAAAAACACTCATTTGCCTTGTTTGTTAGATCTCTGTATCACATACGAATCACTTACAATGTTAACAAACAATTTTATTACTGATCCAATACGTCTCAATTGTACTCACGTAAAAAAACTTCATATAAATAAACCATTTGTTCGACCAAAAACTTTTCATAAGTTTTTTCCTTTATTATAAATATTTGTTCGAAGTTCTTTCAATAAAAAAAGGTAGTTTGAAAGTTAAAATCAAATCAAATCATTATAACAAGAATAAACATATTTCTTTAATATATGCTATAGTTGAAGAAAACTAATTTGATTCTTCTTTTCTAATTATTTATCTATAATTTAAATTTGAATAATATCATTTTTACTAGCAATAACATTCTGTTTTTATTTAAATAATAACTAAGAAAAATATGTTCTCACATGGAACTAGATGGTATTCGAGTTTTACTCGATTCTAAAATCCGATGAGAAGATTCGAGTGGCGATTCTTTATTTATCTAATAATCGTAAAAAGAAATAATCAGTTATATGAATAAAATCAAAAGTTTGTACCATTTGAGAATATTAGAATTAACCATATGACTGCCGACATAACGAGAAGGAGGAAACGATTTTGAAGAAAGTTTATTTATCTTTTATGGAATGGTTCTATAGTTTGTCTTTGTAAAATGGTATGTTGAAGAGCGCACATTATCCAGTGCTTGTTCTTATGTAAATGCATCTAAAAAACATTCATTACGATACGATTGATTGCATCAAGTTTAGACACTGATAAAGTCCATGACGTTTATAAATGGCGGCGGCGGCCAAAGGGTTAATATCATATTAATATAAGCTAACATACAACAGCCTAAAATAATATTATTTAATGTTGGACTTGACATACGAATATATCTAAATGAAATAAAAATAAAAAATTCAATTATCCTTTATTTTCTCTTTTACCTATGTGATCGAAAATGAATATTAAAAGCAAGAAAAGTACATGATATAAACAATCCAATTCCACTACATATTGATATTGATATAAATACTGACAAATAAATATGTTCAAATTGAATTGTTTGATTTGTTCGATCTCGTGGTGGACCATTTCCTTAACAAAAAAAACCTATTAGCACAATCTTTACAGAATTAAAATGTAGAGTAAGATGTAACTATTTTTTCTAACTAATGGAAGATTGTTCTATTCTATCTATTTTGGCATACATTTCTTCACTATCCTTTTAACGGATGGGCCAAAAATTTTGAAATAATATGTTTCTTCATTTTTGGATCGTTTAAGACAATTAGCAGAAGCTATAAAATATTGGTTTAACATCAGAATTTTGTGTACTTTCTCAATGTAGGTTCGGAATTTTTATTACATTTATATTTCAGGAGTTATTAGTCAATTTATGAAAGACCTGAGAATAAAGTTTGAACGGATTTCAGAACCTATCGCGTTCTTATGCTCATATGCATCCGTTTTTTTTCTATTGATTGAACGTACATGAAGAAGTTCCACGAAGTAAATCAATAAAACATAACTCAAATTTCACCACTGTCAATACAAGCTTGAGCGCATTGCATCGACAATTCATTTCATGGAACTACATCAATAATAGAACGTAATAGTGAATCATATTGACTATGGACGATTTCTTTTCTATTATCTCTGAATTTGTAACGAATATCATAGATATTTCGATTAGTAAGATATAAGCAGTAATTATCTGCATTTGTTTGAATTAAGATAAAATTACAATATAATAAATCTATCCTAAATGCAATTGAATTTATGGAAAAATATTGTTGAAATGTTATACGTTATCTAAACTTCATTGTTTATTCTTTCGAAGGAGACAATCGCGAGTTCTCTAATATTTCTAAAAATTTCTGTTTACAAAAGAGATAAGATCTTCATGAATCGACATCAAGATAGTTGTATACTGCTGACACATTTTCATTTTAGAATATCTCAAAACTTTCAACGCATCCATTATTTAATCCTCAACATCTGTAATGGTGTTTGACTAACATCTATTATATTGCCTTGATTACAGCATGTACGATCTGTGAAAAGTTCAAATTTTTACTCCTATACTTCAACACTCGTTTTAGATCATGTTCTATCAAATAGAAAAACCATATTTTCTAATAAAATAAAAACAAACCATGCCACATAATTGGATTAAGTTTATACAAAATTGGTGAACCATCTTTTGATTCTAAATATTTGGAAAGAAAAATTTTCACAACAGTTAAATGACAATCATCTTCTTCTTCATAACATGGAATTGTACATGTTTTATCTTTCATCATTCGACAAGCTAAATTTTATATTGAAATTTTATTAAAAAATAACATAATTGTTTTTTCTTAAATATTTTTCTTATGAATAAATTGTTCAACAAGTCCTTGACCTATTCGTCCACCATTTAAATACCTGACTCTTCCCTAAAAATTTAACAATATTGATAAATATTCTTTGTTTTTGTTTTTTTGCTTATCTAATTCACTTACAGTAGCATCAATAAAATCAATATTTTCAAGAACATTTTTAAATATTCCAGTAATCGATTGATTACTTAATAAATGTGATTGATAAAGATATGCTAAACTCCATATTGTATCATATACATAAGCATCAAAATAATCTTTTTCTAATTTAGAAAATTGTTTTATATATTCCGTGATATATTCTGATTGATTCTAAAAAATAATTCAAAAACAAAAAAAGAAATTCTTTTGTTTTGTTTTGTTTTTCTCAATAGATTTTTTAAAAAATACTTCATTATCATCAATAGATAAACGTGGTAGACGTGTTTTTAATGTACCATTAATTACACGAATTATTTCTTGGATTGAACAATCAGTTGGTTCATTCCACCAAGTTGATAATGATGGATAACCAAGAATAATCCATTGATAACGAGAACCATAAACTTGTTCACGAACTGCCTATCCTTTGAAAATAAATAAGAAATTTTTTTTTTGTTGAATTTTATCATATATACCTGACAAAACATATGAGTAGCAATTGTTTGATTAAAATTTGCAATAATTATTCGTACATCTCAAGCCTTCAAAAAAAAAAGAACGATAAAAACAAATTTTTGT